AGAAGGACAAGGGAAGGATTTGTGATTTGGATGATATAGTCAGGATATTACCAGTCACCCAAGGACAGACAATAGCCTGACACTAGTCAAGAAGATCACTAGGGGAAAATCCAGGGCTGAGATCAGTGATACCCAGATCAGCATTCATGTCTGACTGAGTATACCACTAGCTTCACTGACATCCAAGGCATAAACCAATAGCTAACTCTAGAGATATAGTTTAAGAGACCAAATAGATATAAAATATTTACAAATTTATTTGATAAATTCCCCATCTAAAGTGAATTTATGGGGAGAAAAAGCCAAGTGTATAGCTATAGTTTTGTTTGCATTCTGACAACAGTCTGTGTGGCCAAGCTGAATCAAATTTGTGATTCGCTGACCTTTTCCTCTAACTGGACAGAGAGTTAGAAAGGGATTTTCAGATTCTCTCAGCATAGGCATGTTCTGTTTACCAGGCTGAAAACAGAGTTCAGCTGCACCTTCTTGGTTTTAAAAATCCCATATTCCTGCTAACAGTGCTAGTTGATAACACCATTCCTGAGGTGCAATGAGACAGCCACACATCACTCCAACCACACAAATCAGAGCCCCAGGCACTTTACCTTCTTTGTACACCTTGATTATCTCTTTGATCTGCGCTTTTGTCCGGGATGCCAGGATCTCTATGATAACACCTTCACTTGTTCCCACACCCTTTAATAGAAAAACATAGTGGAGAAATAAAGGTGGAGAAAAGCATCTTAGTCATGGAGTGTAATTTACTGCTAGAGAAGTATTGTCAGGTGAAGAGTCTGATGGCAGCAAAGTGTTAGGCTGTGTGCTGAGCTGCGAGAAACCGTGGGGATGAAAGCTGGAAACACAGAGCACGTTTGATTTGAACATGGTTTCTTTTACTGAGGTGCTTAATTAATAAAGGATGATTTTATGTAACCCTTCACTTTTGCAATGCATTTCTGGATCTTGATCTTTGACAAGACTGTTAGAGGGATGTGGGGAGACCAATGCTTGCCTAGTCAGTCCGTCTTTGTAGAGTTTGAATAGACCTCTCTGCATCTGAAACTTGAAAAGATACTGTAGCAATAGGTAGGATCCCAGCCAGCCCCAGCCTGGCCCTCGCATCACCACTCATTGATTTCTTAAAGGTTTCACATCTCAGGTGTGGCATCAGAGCATCGTCTTTATATCACTGAGCTCCCTTCACAAGAGGCACCACAGAAAGCAATGAAGAGATGTTTGACTGAGAACCGTCATCTATGGATGTTCATTCCTTGCCAAAGCTGAGTTTAGTTTTGCTGTTGCTTTCCCCAGGCTCTGAGACACGTATGTACAGAAAATCTCACATAGCCCTAAATATTGAAGTAGCTTTTCCCCCCAGAATATGCATTAATAGTACAATTAACTATTTATCAAAGGCTATGGCTAATAACCAGCTTAATCATGTAACAGTACAGTTATTACCACTTGCATTAATAAGCACATTTACAGGAAATTAGCATTGTATCTGTACTACTACTTAAATAGCAGCATGCAATTCACTTACCTTCATGGCATCATAGAGCTCCTTAGCATCATACTTGAATGGGGAGTACATGAGAGCTACAATAAGCCTCTCAAAGTCACCACTCAGTTCAGACTTCAGGCTTTCAATCAGATCCTATTAAACATACATCACACAGTTAAATAAAAAGCCTCACAGGATCTTTTTATTGCCTGGTGCTGTTTCCATCCCCAAAGCCTCAGCAATGAAGCTGAATAACAGTATTGTGTTGATAGTTTATTAGAAAAGGTCCTGGGATTGGAAAAGTCATCTAACTCCAAAATGAGATTTGTCTCGGTCCTTCCATATTCCCTGCTGTCCCATCACTTAAGCTTCTCGCAGGTGCTAATTAATTCTGCGGCAGAGTAGGGAAGATTAAAATTAAAATCTTCCTCCACTCTGTTTTACTGAGTGAGCAGAACCAGGCAGCTGAAGGCCTTGAATTGAGCAAGGGATGTAGCTTCAGGCAGAGCTGATTGCCAAAGCTTGCTTATAAACCCAGGACTTTGGCAGAATCAGGCACACAGTCTGTCTGAAGATGGACTCCAAGCTTTCCTTTTATTATAATGCAGGTTTTTTAGGGTATGACTCACCCTGTTTTAGTGGGATGCAAGCACCCTATTCATTGTCCCATATTTGCCTCCCCCCACATTTGCTTCCCTTTCTTAGCCCTTTGCATGGCAGACTCCCTTCCACTTTCATTTACCCCATGCTTGCAGTATGAACTGTACACCCGTTTACTACACCCGCCATGCAGTGAAACAGTGACTGAATATGGCTTTGTTTTGGAAGAACCTTTCCAAACTGTCCTTTGAAGGATTTGGCAATCTGTTGGCGCTGCATATTGCTCCTCTTGGTTAGGACATCAATTATAGCTTGTTCATCAGTCCCTGTGGAGAGCAACAGTAAGCCATAAACACAGTGCACAGAATAAGTTGAGGCTAGTCCAAAATCTCAATTAAAGTATTCAGACAACCTTCCCTAGTTCATTGCCTTCATAACATATAAGTTTAAGTATGTATCGAGGAAACTTTAATTTTTATTTTTCCACATTTAAAAAATGGTATCTCTGGCTGCAATTTTCTTAAGGAATGGCTGTCAACTGGGCAATTATAAGCAGAACATAGAATTTACATATGTGGTTGGAGTCAACTCACCAAGCCCTTTCATGGCTTTATATAGAGTCTGAGCATCAGGAGTGGGGTCAAAGTTTAAAGCACCTGTCACGGACTTGCCCTCTGCTTCACTCTGAAATAAGAGGAAAAATACAGGACTTTTCACCACTGCTTTTCATCAGGTGAAGCAAAAGTATTTTGGAAAGTAAATTAACATTATTCATTGCCTACACATGGGCAAGGCACAGAAGAGTGGAGGGGTTGATTCAAGGTGTCTCAGCAGAGCTCTGAAGAGAAGTTTCCTGCCTTCAACTGCTTCTACCAGCCTTTGGCTCCAGGCAGAAACATAAAGTGCAAAGCACTACTGACACTGCTGCAACAGTCGTTAGGTGCAGGCAGCCTGGTAGAGAAAGCTGAGTAGACTAAACTTTCTTATTCACCCATTAAATACAATACTTCATAACATGTATGCTATCATATTATCCTGCTGTCAGGATCTGCATTTCCTGGTGGTTTGGTGCAGGGTAGTCTTTAGCCATAGTTTTTTTTTTTTATTTCATGGAATAGTCATACTATCACAGACCATTTTTCTAGGTAGCAGCTTTATTCTGCTGCTGCTTCACTTGTGCACAGCTGATTTCAAGAAGGAAGCATTTCCACAGGAAGGATTTGGTCTAAGAGACTACTTTGAAGGAACAGATCCATCTGGAGAAGTGCAGGTTTGATGTTCTCCCCTGAACCAAGGGCCAGCTACACAGGAATCCTCCAGAGAGACTCCTAAGGCACTGCCAGAGTCCCAGGGCAGAGAGACACACTGAGACTTGCGCCAGTCACCACAAGGCAGTGGGGCCATCAATCAGAACCCAGGCTTAAGAGCTTGAATTTAACAAAAGGTGTTAGTCAAGGGACTGGCTTGAATATATTGACACATGTCTAACAATAAGGTCCTGTCAACAGGGGATTACATGAGTGGTTAGTCATAGAGACATCACTACTTTATTCCAATAACAGACAGAATTTTCTCTTCCTTAGCAGCAGAGAGATTTAAGTTGTGCCAGGAAAATAGTATATTCTCATAAATTTACTTGCAGGAATATGGTTAATATTGAACTAATGATATCAATACGACTTGATGGATTTTTCAGTGGAGGTGGCCTCAAAGTCATGTAAAAAGCACCTTCATATCAGAGCATACAGACCAGAAGGAATCACTATCCGACTTGCATAACATGGATCATTAAGTGCCACCCAGCAGCCTCCTGCTATGGTCCAAATCCCTTCAGCTCTTATCTCCTGTGCTAAAGAGGAATCTACTCCTCTTCTAGAGTTTCATCCAAGTCCTCCCCAGAGAAAAAGCCTTCAAGCGATCCTTGCCAGGTAGAAGAGCTTGTGGAAATTCACTTCAGGACCTGCATTCCTGGCTTTTAATGAGAGGCTGGAAGATTAATGCCTGTGTGCTCAGGAGTGCCTGTCAATAAATGTGAGGTCTAGCCTAGTACCACAGCTGAAGCATACCCGCACTGTGCTACACAGATGCTCAGGCTGGCTCTGAGCAAGCCAGCTCAAGTGATCTTGTTAAGTGCTTTACCAGTAGAAATAGCCAGCACATGCTTGCATGCGGGCCCCTTTGCCAGCCAAGCTCTGAGAGCAGTGACAAGCAAGCGGCAATGATGAGTATCAAGAGAAGCACTATGTTCATCAATCGGGAAGATCTGGAAGAGGTCTTTGGTTTGCAGAAGTTTGCTTTACAGCCAGCACAGAGAGAGACTCTTGTGCTACCACACCCTGGCTCCCAGCAGAGAGCAGCTGCAGAGCTGACAGTGTCAGCCCAAAACTTCCAGCAAACTTAAGGCTGTGGTGAAGATGTCACTGCAGAAAGAGCAATGACAGACTAAAGCATTGCCATCCCCAAAGGTTTGTCATCAGTCTGGAACAGGATGTTTGGCTGAGCTGGTAGGACCGTTGCAAGCACTCCTTTTCTGATCGCCTGTGAAGTCAGCCAGTGCCATCACAACTGCCCTGGAAAGCAGGTTACACTCAACCATCTGATTTTGCTCTGAAAAAGATGAACAATCCTTTCAAGCTGCATACAAGGACTCATGTGAAAGAAACTCTGGACCTGTGCCTGATGACTCAGAGAAGGAGGGAGTGCAAAGCTGAGCTTTCACTTGGAGGCAGTGAAAAAACCTGAAACAATAGTCTTTTTTTTTTTTTTTTTTAATACTAATTCCAAGAAACATTTACAGCCCATCCTGGCTCACGTAGCGCACTCATGACTCACTGGTACACCTCATTCTCTGTGTATTTAATTGTTCCAGCACAGGTACAATCATAACAGGTTTCCAGAGTAACCCTATTCAGTTTGGTCTTGTTCCCAGATAAATTGATCCTACAATGACCTAACTGAAACTACTTAAGGCATCCGTGTAACACTCATGTGAAGATGAATAATTGACACAAAAGCAATGGAATCAGTGTACCTTACAGCTGGTGCTCTGAAAAGTTATACCTATAAATGAAGGGGAAGGGAATGAAAAGTTTTCCTATCAAAATATTTTCAACCTAAACAGTAGTTTGTTGAAAAGCTGGAATGTGGGGACAGGTGGGGCTTTTTTTTTTTTTAGGGGATATTTCTGAAAAAGTTTCAGATTTTTTCATTCTGTTTGCTTTTGAACTCTATTTTTTTATTAAGAGTTTGGAAAACCGAAACTGTTTTCTAACATCCTTCCTTTGCCTTCTCATCTTCTCTTCATGCCTCCACCCCCTACAACACCTACAGGTAAAAGATTGCTGGAGCTTTCAAGGGCTTTTTCTCCTTCTCCTTTTCTACACTCTAAGTTTTCAAAAAATTTCTAGTTTGGGGGGGGTGAGAGGGTGTGGAATGGATGAGCAGAAAGGGAAGAATTAAAGTCAGAGCTACTCTGAGTTTTGGAAAAAGTCCATTTTACTGTGCTGAACTTCCAAAAGGAAATAGGGAGGCAGAAGGAGATCAGCAGAAGGGAAGATTACCATTTTAATTTTTCTGGGGGAAAAAAAATAAAATAAATCATTATATGTTTTGAGATCAGGAAAGTTGCCTATCTGAAGGAAAGTAGGAATAAGCTTGGTATTCCCTAACCCCCAAGGTGGTTTTTTTGTTGTTTTGTTTCTCCGGTTCCCACCCCTCAGTTGCAAAATCATAACTGAGAACCTGAAAAATGGTTATGTCCATGCAAAGTGGTTTCTCACTCCTTGATGATGTATTGCACCTGAGGTAATAAAATACCCTGCAAGACAGCTCTCCCATGCTTCCTGGGCACCTTTGCTGGCACAGGGCCACAGAGGCCCCTTTGAGGCCCCCAGCTCAGCTTACCCTTTGCACAGGCTGCTGAAACATGAAGCCTTTTTCACAACAAGGCAGAGGGGAGACACAAATCTTTCCAAAGACGACACAAATCACCAAGAGAAAGCCTGTGCACTAGTGATAGTGATGCTGGGCAGGGGGACTGGGCTGGGAAGGATGACTTCTTTACCAGTATTCCTCCATCGCATGTCTCCGGCAGGTCTCTTCTAGGCCTTGGCTTATAGGTATTCTGGAGATAAAGTCTGGGGGTAAACCTGGCCTTCCTCATAGGCTAATGGGACAGCTGCCATCAATGCAACAGAGCTCTGCTTATCAGCAGAGCTGCCTCCCGCCTGGCCTGAGCCGTACCCTGGAAGCTGTCTCAGCACACACCAAGAGCATCCCCCCATCCTGCCACATTCCTTCCAAAGCCACGAGAGTTTAAAAGAGAACGCACACAGCATTTCTGGCTCCTAGAAGACAGACAGGGTGTCCAAGTCCACATTGTCTTTGCAATATTAGAAACCCACCAAGGAAAAACACGCTGCAGCTTGACCGCATCTCCCTTCATGACCACAGCCTGCCAGCACAACTGAGGACCAAAATGGGGACAGGCCAGTGTCCTGAACTCACTGCCACTGCAGATGATGAGCCTGCAGCTTTCAGACCTAATGCAGACCTCAGCTGTGTTACTTTACTGTCTCCCCACGTACAAAGGCACACAAACGCCCCCTGCACCACTCTCAATTGAAGGAATAGGGAGAGTCTGCTCTTCTTAAAGCCAGCAATCACGTTAGCACCTTCCGTAATAAAGGTATTGAAGTGCTGAAAGCTATTTTATAGTCAGAAAAATCAGTAAATAGGTCTGGCTGATTTTTAGAGGGAAACATTTCATTCCCACACAGTGCCTGATGCAACTTGTAAGTCAAGGTTTCTTACTTCAGTATTTCCTCTACTTACCCAGGCCTTCCACCATGCCATTGCAGCCTCAGTAGTGATACCTGGGTCTGTTGGTGAAAAAACCACACATCACACCTCACGGTTAGGGAAACTGAGATTTGAAGGGGGTGGAGGGAGAAAAAAAACTGTAAAGTTCTTTTCAATAAACTTACCACAAGAAAATTGGAATAACTGTACTCCTCAGAAGGCTTATTCCCTCTGGAAGCTGCAGAACGTGACTGGCCTCTCTGTGCTGGGAACACGCAGGTATAAACCATCCTTATCTACAAATTCCACAGGGCAACACCCTCAGACGTGACTCAACCTGTTTTTTCACATATGATCTCACAGGGAGAGATCAAGTTGCTTAATAAATGAGGCTTCCTTTGTGAGGAGCCCTACATTCAACCCTGTTGACTAAAGCTCATTGTATTTTTTCCACTGCTTCTCCCCACTCACACCCTTCCCCACTAACATTTTGGCTTCTGGCATTGACACAACATGCAAATTATACCCAGATAATTTCTCAGCATAAAATTCCACTGCGACTCAGTGAGTTCTGCTACAACAGAATAAGCCACTCATTATTACTGACTTTTTCTAGCTCTACCGATCTGGAACACATCAAAACAGGACTCTAGAAACTTGACAAACCCTTCTCTACCTCTCTTCCTTCAAAAAAAGCTTATTAAAAACAAAAAAAAAGAAAAAATCAATCAACAAACACATCCACACCCTTACACACATCTTACAGTAAAGCTCAATAAAGCAGCAGCCTGCACAGATACTTGGGATGTAATGTCGCCCCCGCCCCGATCCCATACCTGGACTTGCATGGCATGAATCAAGAGGCATCCATAGGCTAATATAGAATCATAGAATCTTAAGGTTGGAAAAGACCTCTAAGATCAAGTCCAACTGTCAACCCAACACCACCATGTCTACTAAACCATGTCCCAAAGTGCCACGTCTACACGTTTTTTGAACACCTCCAGGGATGGTGACTCCACCACCTCTCTGGGCAGCCTGTTCCAATGCCTGACCACTCTTTCGGTGAAGAAACTTTTCCTAATATCTAATCTCAATCTCCCCTGACGCAATTTAAGGCCATTTCCTCTTGTCCTTCGGCTAGTTAATTGGGAGAAGAGACCAACACCCATCTCACTACAACCTCCTTTGAGGTAGTTGTAGGTCTCCCCTCAGCCTCCTCTTCTCCAGGCTAAACAACCCCAGTTCCCTCAGCTGCTCCTCATGAGACTTGTGCTCCAGTCCCTTTACTAGCTTTGTTGCCCTTCTCTGGGCATGCTCCAGCACATTTAAGTCTAACAACTTTCACTAACACCAACCCCAGCAAAGTTGTCAAAGGCCTTACACTAGCTTCTGTGACATATTAAGGCTTAGGAATAGAGTGTGAAATTTTAATTTTTTTTCTTTTTTTGGTGGTTGTTTTAAAGAGCTGAACAGCTCTTAATGCTGTAATTTGGATGTTTCTGTGAAATCAGCTGAAATATCTTACAGTTGTAGCAATATTTTCCTGTCTAGACTTTTGTCAGAATCCACCCATGCCAGCATTTATTTATTTGTTGTAAATGGAAAGCTGCCCTGATGGAAACATTCCCACCAGCTATATTTTAACCCTTGCCATATAGGAGCTTTCTCCCCTCTCACGTTTACAGAGCCCCATGGGACGCTGGGTAAACACTAAATTATGGACCTCTCTTTTTTCCTTCCCACACACTGCTTTTCGCTTAACCCAGCAGGGTCCCCCATGGCCTGGGAAGCTGCCCTGGCTAATCCCAAGAGAAGGAGCTGTGCCAGTGTGGTGGGTTGACCCTGGCTAGAGGCCAGATGCCCACCAAAGCTGCTCTCCTCCTCAGCTGGACAGGGAAGAGAAATATGATGAAAGGCTTGTGGGTCAAGATAAGGACAGGGAGAGATCACCCACCAATTACTGTCATGGGCAAAACAGACTAGACTCAGGAAGATTAATTTAATTTGTTACCAATCAAATCTGAGTCGAGTAATAAGAAATAAACCCAAATCTTAAAAACATCTTTCCGCCACTCCTCCTTTCTTTCCAGGCTCAGCTTTGCTCCCAAATTCTCTACGTACTCCCCACAGTGGCACAGGGGGATGGGGAATAGGGGTTGCAGTGAGTTCATCACACATTGTTTCTGCCACTCCTTCCTCTTCAGGGGGAAGACTCCTACACTCTTCCCCTGCTCCAGCGTGGGGTCCCTCCCACAGGAGACAATTCTCCACCAACTTCTCCAACATGAGTCCTTCCCACAGGATGTGTTTTTTCATGAACTGCACCAACTCCAACTCCTCCGTCCATCACATGGCAAAGGCAAGTTGGAAGGAGAAGGCATTGCCCTTGGCATAATAAGCATGCTGCTAGGGTGTGCGCTGGCTTGGTTTCTAGTCATGTTTGAGAGGCAGGTTCATCAATAGCACACAGCAAGGAGAGTTCATGAGCGGTCCTTCATTCCTCCTCCTCCTGGGGGTAAGGTAGATTCACAAGCAGGGTAGGTTTGCTTTTGCTGGATCCCAAGGCTGTGCCCAGCTGGCTATATATGCCTTTTCCCTGTGTTGGGATTTAATTCGGTCAGCTTGCCATGGAGGTCAGCTTTCTTGAGGACTCCAAGGGATGGAAAATCACAGTCACAGCAAACAGCTGTAGGTCACAGAGGGGAGCAGAGACCAAACTAGACAGAAAATGGGAAAAAGCCCAAGTGGTCATTCTTGCCAGCAGGAACTAAAAAAGCCACAAAGGGACATAACAGGGGACTTTAACACAGAGAAACACTAGCCAAAGAAATCAATACAGATGGACTAGGAAAGGCCTGGAGAATCTGAACCCTGCAGCAAGGCTCAGAATAGTACTGCACAGTCTTAATACAGAACAGAGCAGTCAGCACTCAGGCCAGTGGAGCAGGAGACAGACACTACAGTCCAAAATCCCTTTTGCTTGCACAAAAGCTGTTAAAAGGCTGTTAAACTGAGCATTCTTAAACATGAACAGACTCATCTTCACTACACTTCTTGTCCCTCCCCTAACGCAGATGCTATGTATGTGAGTTAGCTTATCCATGGTTCATGCACTTTACTGCTGTGTATCAGAGGCACAGACACATCTTTTCCAGCACCAGTAAGCTGGGTAAAGCACAACCCCACCTATAGCTCAGTGATTACCCTCAGGAACATGCAAAACTTCAGAAAAGGGGCAGAAGATGATGCACAGGTTCTCCCAAGCCTCACTGTCTCACACTTCCCCTCTTCTCCCCACCCTCCCTGAGGACATTTTTGCATCTCAGGTAATACTCCCTTTTGGAAAATTAACTCCAAATCCACTAACAGGACTGTCAATAGAAACTCTGCCCAACATCATATTAAGGCAGTTAGAATTTGACTCTGACAGTGAACATGTGTGTTTGTACTGTAGGGTACTGTGGTACCCCACAAAATACAGTCATCCCTCAGCTACCTACAAGATGGTTACCTGGGCAGTGGGTCAATCGCATTGCGGGTACAGACATCTGTAAAGTCTCTCCACAGTGAGCCTTTCTCGAGCCCCCTCCACAGGCTCCTCTAGGCTTTCGGAGAGTCCTTGCTCCTGCCAATATGCCCAGCACAGCTATCAAGAGTGGGCAGAAACCTCCAGCAGAAGAAGTGCATGCACCATAATCAGGTTTGGTTTGTGGGTTTCTAAGCCATTTGGTCCAAATCAATTTTCAGCTAGACAAAATGAAGAAGCTACTAAGGTACTTTACTTTTCTTGAGTCCACCCTTGGGATTTTCCAAGCTTGCATCAGTGACATCGGAGCTGCCCAGATATATACTCAATCAGTATAAGGGGAGTTATAAAAGAAATCACCAGCAGAATTTTGCTCAACCTTTCTCAAAACCCCAAAATATTCAAGGCATGAAATAAAGGTGCTGATAGCCTTAGAACAGTGCATAACTAGCATTGTTTCAAGAAGCTTTTACCACCCATTAAGCTCCAACTGCTCTGTTTAGGTCAAATGAGAGCAGTCTAACAGATACTGTAATTTAGGCTGAGGGTAACTAAAGTCTTCTGGTGTGCAGAAGCAGCTCCCTTTTCCCCCTTCCCATCTGTAGGTTTGTAAAGTCTGGCCCTATGCCTGGAAAGTTTCAGGCCAGGAGCTGACTGCTTTAGAACATGAAAGCTTATGGAAACCAGGTTCTCAACTGCTCAGCAATTTCACTTACTCCATAGCTTTCACTTCTAATAGAGCTTTTTCAAGCCTAACAAGAACAGCACAGCCCACTGGGAATTTCACCCCAAAGTCTGTATTTATTTGTTTTTTCAGCCAAGAACTTGGAAATCAAATGGAAACAACAGACCAAACACACAGAGATACTTTTGTGCAAAGCAATAATCTGATAAATTGTATAACATAATTACTTAAATTTGAGGAAATTAGAGCTCACCCTTCAGACCAAACAGGAGAAAGGTATTCTGTTACAATGCTAGAAGATTAATAACTTTCTCCAATCCAGTCTGTAAGTAATATCATGTAAAACTGTAGCTCTGATAAGGAGACAGTTCAGCGAACATCAGAATTTTCTTTTTATACATAACTCACCAGACTCATGCAGTACTATGCTTTCCAGGTCTGGATGTAACCCCCTTACTCACAAGTCTTTTAGCTCTACACCTATTATTAACAACACTCTGCCCTAACTTTTAGTGACTTACATCAGTCTCTTGCCCCAGAAGCTGCTGTGTTTGCAGACAGGCTTACACTCTATCACTGTACAAACTACACTAGTTTCATCCTGCAGATTTTAAGCCACTGTGCAAACAAATCCAGAGACCATGCAGCTGCTTCTGCTTCTACTACTCCCTTTTTTTTTTTCCTCCTATTTATCACCACTTAAATAGATACAAGCAGCTGAAAGCCCTCACAATTCTTAAGAGCAAACGCCCTTACAGCTACTAATCATCTCACCTTCACCTGAAATCAGATCATTATATAGGAGAGCTGTGTAAATTTGCCAGCAAGCCATTCCAAACA